TCAATTACAGGATTAAAGAGCTGTACAAACATTGTACAATATGATAAAAGGCATCTTCAACGAATGTTTTCTAGATAGACTATTATTTCTGTCATGAATATTTCAGTTATAAATTTTTAAAAATTGACTCTAAGCTAAGAAGAAAGTGGTTATAACTTAACTTCCCTTTGACTGGCCTCATCATGCATTCAGCAGCAAATTATCTCTTTTCTTGACACAAACATGATGTTTGCTGGTGTCAGTTAGTGCCAATACCCAGACAGATGCTTATGGGCTGAAAGGTTAGCATACTATGCATTGTGCCTTTGCAGTGACAAGCAAAATTTGCTCCTTTATCTTTACAGACAAATATTTCTCTTTTCCAAAGACAGGAAAGCACACAAACTTTTTTTTGGTTTTATTGACAGATTAACAATTTACTTTTAAAATACATGATCCTTATACACAAACTCTTTTTTTTTCACTCTACCTCAACCTGTTAACATTTTAATCCTGGTGGGGATAGGATGAGAGAAGTCAATCATATTTTGATTGAACAAATGTCATGCAAGAAGTTTCATAGAATAAGTATCTCATCAAAGAAAACCTCCTAGCAGGGGTTTAGTGTATTGTGTCCTCTGACAACTGTTTGGTAGTCTCTTTAGGATGCACCAGAGCATCTCTGTAGAAGGAAAGATGACAAATTCACTGATCTCAGTATAAATGCTCTAAAGATGAAGGCTTGAAAATCATGATAAAAAGGAATGTTTGGTGGTAAAAACCAGGAAAGAATGGAAAGTTTCACTCATCTGAGAAGACAAAATTTACTGACTAATAAGGGGGGCTAGCTGCCAGAGAAGGAGAAGAGCATCTTCAGTCATAGGCTTGCCAAGCTGATGAAGAGGGCTTTAAACTAAAGTTGCCAAGGCAGGGGAACCTCAGTCCATCCCACTCCTACAAGTTTGATGTCATGAGGCATCAAGGATCCATCAAGGATCCAAGCCTGGAGGGGGATCAGAGGCTAACAGGAGAGCAGCACAAAGGAATTCCAGCTACTCTACCCAGTAAGTTTGGAATTCCAGCTACTCTAGTCAGTCAATTGGATTCATTCAGGCCTAACTTAAATACCGCTATGCCAATGCATGTAGCATATATAACATTCAGAGAATTGTTGTCAACAGCTTGATATCCAAACGGAGGCCGGTGATGAGTTGTGTTCCTCAGGAGTTGATACTGGGACCGGCATTGTCTAACATCTTTGTCAACAGCACAGTTGGTGGGATTGGGTGCACCTGCAGCAGGCTTGCTGACAAAACCAAGCTGAGTAGTGAAGTTGGCACACTGGAGGTAAGGGATAGGATCTGGAGGGATGTTGACAGGCTGGGGAGATGGGCCTGTGTGCACTTCACGAAGTCCCACAAAGCCAAGTGCAAGGTCCTGCATAGGGGTTGGGACAATCCCAAGCACAGGTACAGGCTGGGTGGAGAATGGATTGAGAGCAGTCCTGAGAAGAAGAACTTGGGGATGTTGATTAATCAGAACATCAATGTGAGCCAGCAATGTGCACTTGCAGCCCAGAAAGCCAACAGTATCCTGGGCTGCAACAAAAGAAGCATGACCAAAGTTGAGGGAGGTGATCCTGCCCCTTTACTCCACTCTCCTGTAGTACTGCATTCAGCTCTGGGGCCTGAACATAAAAAGGACATGGACCAGTTAGAATGAGTCCAGAGGAAGGGCCATAGGACTAGAGCACCTCTCATATGAAGACAGGATTAGAGGAAGAAAGCTTTTACTGTGACGGTGGTGAGACACTGGCACAGGTTGCCCAGAGAAGTTACGGTTGCCCCATCCCTAGAAGTGGTCAAGCCCAGGTTGAATGGGGCTTTAAGCATCATGATCTAGTGGAAGGTGTCCCAGGCTATGACAGGAGGGTTGGAACCAGATGATTCCTTCCAACCCAAGCCATTCTATGATTCTGTGATTATGAAGACTGTAAAATCACTGGGGAAATCAACTGTATTTTATTACCCGCCAAAGCTGTGGTATAGCTAGATCAGTGCAAAATCTAAGCTGAAATAAAGCCACAGCAATTCCTTATTAAGACTTCAGCATCAAGCAAAAATGCAGCAACAAATGAAGCAAAACTGAAGCAGATTAGAAGCTTTTGACAGTTTCTGAGTCAGCTGATGGCAGTTGCCTGCATGGACGGTTTCACAGCATCTAGCCAGCAGTTCATATATACCATTTTTTGGTATATATTATTCTTCTTTTTTTGCTCATATTATAACTTCACAGAGAGGGCTGCACTTTCAGGCAATGAGTAAAGAATGTATCAATAGAAAATTCATAGAGGGTTGCTGCATGGTTCAGCAAGATGATTACAAACTGGGTTTTTTGTCTGTAATTTTTCAAGTGCTGAAAAAACTATCTTGGGTAGAACGATTACAGCAAGAGAAACTAATTAAACAGATTTGTGTCCCATGGCGTGTCTCAAGTGTAATAATCTCCATGTAAATGTCATTTTCACATAGTCAGAAAAAGTCCCTTTACAACCAATCCCCCCCCCCCCCGTCCTGAAAAATTGTAAATAAATAGCGGAGGCTGTTGGTGGATTCATTTGTTTGAGGGTTGCAGGTTTTTTTTACCATTCAAACATAATCAATGCTTTAAGAAAACTAAACAATAGAAATTAAATATTAAAATAAAGTGATAACCCAACTTTTTACCCTGCTGCTGAATCTTCTGTTTGATGCTGTAGTGTTCTTAAAACAAAACAAGGACTTTATACATTCAAAACCTGCAATATTGAAGTGGCAGTCAAGCACTCAGAAGATAAGAAATGTCATTTTAGGTTCCCATCTGCATCTTATTTTGTTACTATCTGGCTGTTTCTGTTATTAGCTGTTTTTTGATAACATGTATGAATTTTATTTTTTATTATATTATTTTTGCATATTTAAACACATCTTCCTCTCCTTCCCCATCTTTCATTATGTAGCCACACTGTTAAAAAGTCCTTATTTTTGTAAAAATATTGCTGACACACTGCCAGGCTGTTTGTATTACTTGTAGTATGCTCTGGAATCACATTTACGATTGTATCAAGTCTTGTTTTTGAGCAAGCCACCACCACAGGTCTGCCTGCAAACATAGTTCCAAACATAGCTAAGCTATTTGAGACTTATTCTTCACCTGTGTCCTAACTATCACTCGTGCTTGTTTTATCCACACTGTATTACCCATATGCAAAGGAAAGCCCTTCTATGATGCACGGTCTTTTCAGGCAGCTCTGTCTTTCATGCAATAGTAAAGGTATATGAGAAAGAGCTGTGGTGGCAGGAATGGGAATGGTGCCGACTGCCTCATTGAACCTGGCAAAACTGAGAGGTGTCCTAAGAAAACGACCAGGGTGATGGTGAGAGAAGGGTATGAACACTATCATTCCTGAACATATAGCAGTATTGCAGGGCAGGCTCAGCAGCCTGTAGTTGGCAATATGTTGGAAATATGATCTAGCCCAAATCCCCTGCTTAAGTGGGGTCGTCCAAAAAGATATATAAAACAAAAAGGGGGAGATGTGGAGACAGTGTTCTCACAGGAGAACGGATAATTGGTACATAAATCCTGAAAAATACAGCAAGGCCATGAGAGGCCCAAGGAAACCTAAAAAAGCAAGATAAGAAGAAGCTGGAATTAACGAAGTTAACGAGAACTGTGGACTGTTGGCAAGCTTTCGAGGTCAAGTTCTCACACCTGTGCTTAACCAATTATGTGTTAGTTACTAAGGGTCTTCAAGACATGTATCCAATCATAATATGCCAAATCACTGTAAGTGCCTGTAAAAAAAATATATAAGGGGTTCTATTACAGAGCATTAGCAAATATAGAACAATTTTAGACATATGTTTAATGCTGGTCTTGTTTGGTATTTTTTATTTCCAGTAAAATAATGGAGAATAGAAATGTGCTATGACCCTTGAAATTCAAAATGTATCACCGGCTACATCAAAATGTGGCTTATGAATGTAAAAGCTATACACAGACTAAGATCCTACCAGAAAGACTGTTGTTTCAAACTGTGGAGTGTTCTAGCATTTCTTTTCATATACGAAAAGATGCTACTCCACTGCCAACTAGTGCGCACTTCCATCACCCTTATCCGAAGAAAGCTTTGGGAACAAAGCTGAGGAGATAACACAGATCCCGCTGAACACAGATGTTCAGGTGTACATCTGAAATACAGTCTTGGTATCCACTGCTATTAAAGATCCCAGATGGAAGCTATCTTATAAAACCCTATGGCTCTCATTCCTACCTCTTACCAACATCAAAACAGCCACTCTAATTTCTGGGTGAAACACAGTATAAATGTAAACTCTAAAAAAATACTAAGAACAACATAAACTGAAAAAAATCACCGTAAGTTGACCTAAATAACCAAGTTTCCTCCTAAGAGAGATACCATCCATGCAGAACGCACACAGTAACCTCCTACTGATTTCTGTCAGTGGTGACAAGCAACCAAGAGGTGCTTGGGGCAGTCACCACAACGCTTCTGGTTGAGCAAACTAAAAAAATTAAAGATCCAGATGTAAGACCCATAAGTACATATGATTGAGCAAAACTATCTGAATCGATAGAGCACAGGTCTACCCACTGCAGAATATACAGAAAACCTACAAGTGACTGAAGTAACCCTCAAAGAAGCATATATGATTTTTAATCCAAAATTACAAGATTTGCATATAAAATGGTAAAGAGAACTAAACTACAACTTATTACTTCAAGAAACAGTTACTATGATACTTACCACTTTGAAATTCATAACCTTCAAAATCCATATTGTCATTGCTAAGTTAACAATCATGGTAACCAACAGCAGAAGGACAAAGAAGTATAAGTACCTCTTTTGCCATCCATAAATCCCAGCTGGGTAAAACTGAGGATGTTAATTCTCCCTCAGCGCTGTTGCTCGTGCGCGGAGCAGGGTCTCGGTGCAGGGCGGTGAGGTGATGGTGGCCATGGGGGCCATGGGGGGGATGGCAGCCATGGGCGTGCTGCCGGTGGGTGCAGCGATGCTGCCGCTGCTGCCCACACTGGGGGTGGCGGGCGTGCTTGAGCTGAAGCCGCTGATGAGGTACAATGCGATGCGGCTAGGCCTGGCCTGGAGACACTCGTGCCCCACCATGCTGTACGCGCCCAACCTGGGCATGCTCTTTGGTCGCATCCTGCTGCGCTATGTCGTTCTGGTGATGAGCATGGTCCGTGTGCCCCTCTACACACAGAAAGACCGCATGGGCAAGCTGCCCAACTTCCTGGCCAACTCCTTTGTTGGAACCGCCAAATTGCAGCTGCTCTTTGCCCTGAAGATCTTGAACATGGTGCCCAAGGAGAAGCTGGCTGAGACGGTGGCTGCCACGCAGAAGGTGAAGAAGCCGCCCATTGACCATGCACCGGGGGCAATGGGCAACCTGGGCTCCAAGTCAGCAAATGAGCTTATGGCACAAGCTAAAACAGGCAGTGAATTAGGAGATCAGGCAGTGAACCAGGTGGTGGTGCAGGAATGTCAGAGTTGGCAGAGCAGGTGCTGGTGGGGCTGGAGAGCCAGGCTGTGGCAGAGCAGCTGGTGGCTATGCCTGTGGCCGAGGCACTGGAGCAGGCGGTCGCACTGGGATCAGACGCTGTGATGCAGCAGCTGGTGGCTGAGGCCATGAAGTGATGCTGCTGTGTTTGAGCTTGATTAAACCTGGGTGAGACCATAGAGACTTTAACTTCCCAGTGCTGGCTGCAGTTGCTGCCCACATGATTCCACTGCCCGGCTGGGAGGGATTGGGTTTGTCTGAAGCAGGGGAAAGAGATGTATTTTTATGGCCATTTTTTTGGGGTCAGTTGCTGAGGTGAATAGCTCGAGAGAGGACGCCTTGAACACCGGAGCGGGGGGAGATCAGTGTCCAGGAGCCTCAACTCAGAGTGACAAGAGCCACCGAGGGAGCCTCAAGTCCTCGACAGGACCTGCCCAGGAGCCGTCAGCTCAGCTGACGCGAGCAGCTGACTCACAGGGGGCGGAGCCAGGAGAAACGCCACTAGCCCTGACTGGTTAAAAACCTGCCCCAGGGAGCACAGGAGACCAGGAGCACGGCGAGGCAGTTTGCGCGGGCAAACAGAGCGGGCCGAGGCAGTTTGCGCGGGCAGGTGAGCGGGATGGTGAGCACTCGCCGTATGACCAGGGCCCGGTCTGGGAGCTCTGCTATGGCTGCCCCGGTGGTGGCCACCGTAGGCACTCAGACAGAGCCGATGAGAGGGGAGGCTGCAGTGCAGACTTTGGGGTGTAGAGAGTGCCTGCACTGGTCTGGTGAGGGAAAGGTACACAATGGGCAGGGCTGCACTGGGTGCTCCCTGGTGGAGGTACTCCTACTCCTGCAGCAGGTGGCTGAGCTGCAGGAAGCTATTAATAGGCCAGAAGATGTAAGGGTAGCTGAGAGGAAGCAGGAATGCTTGCTCCCTGCCCAAACTGTGCAGAGTCCTCAAGCTTCCGCTGTAGCTCATGGAGGAAAGAAGGAGGTTGTTAACCCAGGAAGCTGGGAATTGGAGACAAAACAACAACAACAACAACAAAAAACAACAAAAAACAGACAACAAAAAAAGGAGGAAAAAGACAATTAAAAGCAAGGGACTTCCTCCTGAACCTGTTGTCCCCACCCAGAACCGTTTTGCTGTCCTCCAGGGGGCTCATAAGGAAACGCACTTCTGCCAGAAACAGACAGCTAGTGCACTAGTAAAGATGATTTCTACTGGTGCTGCCAAGAAAAAGCAGCTGGCTGTAGTAGTAGGGGATTCCACTTTGAAAGGGACAGAGGCACTTGTCTGTCAGCCTGACCCGGTCTCAAGGGAGGTGTGTTGCCTACCAGGGGCACGGATCAGGGATGGGGCAGAGAGGCTGCCTGCTCTGGTAAGCCCCACGAACTATTACCCACTTCTGGTGATACATGTGGGTGCTAGGGATATAGATAGTAGTAGCCTGGGGAGCATAAAGAAGGACTACAGAGCCCTGGGAGAGGTGGTTAAGGCTCTGGAGCTCAGATAGCCTTTTCGTCTATTCTCCAGGATACAGGGGAGGACCTAAAAAAAGCTAGGAGGGTTAGCCAGGTTAATAAATGGTTAAAAGAGTGGTGTCACAGTCAGGGGTTTGGGTGTCTTGAACATGGGACCCAAGTTTGTAGGCCAGGTCTAGCGGGGGCTGGTGGAGCTGCTCTGAGCAGGTTTGGTAGGAGGCTTGCCAGACTGGTCAAGGAGGCTTTAAACTAGATGTGTTGGGGGAGGGGGGCATCATTCCATCCCAACACACACAGTCAGTTGCCAGCACCTATAATAAATGCTCGGAGCAATGCAGAGATATTCCGGCTGCTCCAGCCAATGAGCCGGCTTCATTTGGAGCTCGGCTGAGATGCCTCTATACAAATGCCCGTAGCATGGGGAACAAACAAGAGGAATTAGAGATGTGTGCTCGTCTACAGGGGTTATAATATTATAGGCATCACAGAAACATGGTGGGATGGCTCCTATGACTAAAGTGTTGGAATGGAAGGTTACAGACCCTTTAGAAAAGACAGGCCTGGCAGGCACGGAAGGGGAGTTGCTCTTTATGTTAGGGGTAGGCTGGAGAGTATGGAACTCTGTCTGGGGACTGGTGATCAGTTAACAGAGAGCTTGTGGGTCAGGGTTAAAGGGAAAACAGTGATGGGAGACATTACTGTGGGGATATGTTACAGACTGCCTGATCAAGAGGAATCTGTGGATGAAGCACTCTATAGGCAGATAGGAAAACCCTCATGGTCACAGGCCCTCGTTCTCATGGGTGACTTCAACCACCCCGACATCTGTTGGAATGACGGTATGGCCCGGCACAAAGCAATCCAGGAGGTTCCTCGATTGTGTGGAAGACAACTTCCTTCTGCAAGTAATAGCGGAACCAACAAGGAGAGGTGCCATGCTTGACCTTGTGCTCACCAACAGGGAAGGGCTCGTTGGAAATGCGGCACTCCAGGGCAGCCTTGGATGCAGTGACCACGAGATGGTTGAATTTGAGATCCTTAGGACAGTGAGAAGAGCGTGCAGCAAGCTCACTGCCCTAGACTTCAAAAGAGCAGTCTGGCCTCTTCAGGAACCTGCTTAGTAAGGTTCCATGGGATATAGCCCTAGAGGTCAGGGGGGCTCAAGACTCTTGGCTGATCTTCAAGGATCACCTGCTACAAGTTCAGGAGTGTTGCATCCCAACTAGAAGGAAGTGCAGCAGGAGGGCCAGGAGACCTCCTTGGATGGATAAGGAGCTCCTGAGGAAAATTCAAATGAAAAAAGAGTTTTATAGAAAGTGGAAGCAAGGACAGGTAGCCTGGGAAGAGTACAAGGATGTTGTCCGGGAAGCTAGGGACCAGGTCCAGAAAGCTAAGGCCCAGTTAGAATTAAACTTAGCTAGGGATATTAAGGATAACAGGAAGGGATTCTACATGTACATAGCAAATAAAAACCAGATTAGGGAGAACGTAGGCCCCCTCAGGAAGCTCTCGGGTGAACTAGCTACACAGGATTTGGAGAAGGCTGAGGTTCTGAATGACTTCCTTGCCTCGGTCTTCTCTAGCAAAGGCTCTGACCACACCACCCAAGTCTTGGAAGGCAGACACAGAGACTGTGAGAATGAAGACCATAGGCCCACTGTAGGAAAGGAATTGGTTCGAGACCATCTTAAAAATCTGAATTAACACAAGTCCATGGGTCCTGATGAAATCCATCCGCGGGTCCTGAAGGAGCTGGCGAATGAAGTTGCTAAACCACTGGCCATCATATTTGAAAAATCATGGTCGTCAGGTGAAGCTCCCGAGAACTGGAAAAAGGGAAATATAACCCCCACTTTCAAGAAGGGGAAAATGGCTAACCCGGGGAATTACAGACCAGTCAGTCTCACCTCTGTGCCTGACAAAATCTTCGAGCAGATTCTCCTGGAAGGCATGCTAAGGCACATGAAAGACCACAAGGTGGTTGGTGACAGCCAGCATGGCTTCACTAAGGGGAAGTCCTGCCTGACCAATTTGATGGCCTTTTATGATGGGGCTACAGAACTGATGGGCAGCAGTAGAGCAGTTGATGTCATCTACCTGGATTTGTGTAAAGCGTTTGACACTGTCCCACACGACATTCTTGTCTCTAAATTGGAGAGACATCAATTTGATGAATGGACCACTCGATGGATAAAGAATTGGCTGGAGGGCTGCACACAAAGAGTTGTGAATGTCTCAATGTCCGGCTGGAGACCTGTAACGAGTGGCGTCCCTCAGGGATCAGTGTTGGGACCGGTCTTGTTTAACATCTTCGTCGCTGACATGGACAGTGGGATTGAGTGCGCCCTCCGCAAGTTTGCCGATGACACCAAGGTGTGTGGTTTGGTTGATACGCTGGAGGGAATGAATGCCATCCAGAGGGACCTTCACTTGCTTGTGAGGTGGGCTGATGCCAACCTCATCAAGTTTAACTATGACAAGTGCAAGGTCCTCCACCTGGGTCAGATCAATCCCCGGCAGAGCTACAGGCTGGGCAGAGAAGAGATTCAGAGCAACCCTGTGGAGAAGGACTTGGGGGTGCTAGTCGATGAGAAAATGAACATGAGCCAGCAGTGTACGCTTGCAGCACAGAAAGCCAACCATATCCTTGGCTGCATCAAAAGGAGCATGGCCAGCAGGTCGAAGGAGGTGATCCTGCCCCTTTATTCTGCTCTCCCGAGACCTCACTTGGAGTATTGTGTGCAGTGCTGGTGTTCTCAACATAAAAAGGACATGGAAGTGTTGGAACAAGTCCAGAGGAGGGCCACGAGAATGATCAGGGGACTGGAGCACCTCCCATATGAAGATCCGCTGAGAAAGTTGGGACTGTTCAGCCTGGAGAAGAGAAGGCTGTGTGGAGACCTCATAGCAGCCTTCCAGTATCTGAAGGGGGCATATAGGGATTCTGGGGATGGACTCTTCATTAGGGACTGTAGTGATGGGATGGACTCTTCATTAGGGACTGTAGTGATAGGACAAGGGGTAATGGGTTCAAACTTAAACAGGGGAAGTTTAGATTGGGTATAAGGAGGAAATTCTTTCCTGTTAGGGTGGTGAGGCACTGGAATGTGTTGCCCAGGGAGGCTGTGAATGCTCCATACCTGGAATTGTTCAAGGCCAGGTTGGACGAGGCCTTGGGTGATATGGTTTAGAGCGAGGTGTCCCTGCCCATGGCAGGGGGATTGGAATTTGATGATCTTAAGGTCCTTTCCAACCCTAACTATTCTATGATTCTATGATTCTAAGGCTTTGTCATAAATGGCTTTTTTTCTGATCACATTGATCTCTGACTGGATCCATATATTTTCTGCGGCAGGCAGGGCAGTTTGGTTGACAACTAGGATGGAGCTAAAGACTTCAGGTTTTGTGGGTCACCATACTATGCACTAGGGTAGGTAACATGCTTCCCTGTTACACTGCCACACTGCCAGCAAATAACTTATTTTTCTAGTATACTTCTTATACTGTAATCTGTCTGCAAAATATAGCTCTCCTCTACTTAATATTTTCTCTTAAAATAGCATACAGGATTCCTGCACTTTTATGTTGTTGTAAAACATGGATCACACTTTTATTAATTCAAGAGTAATAATCTAGCATGAAACAAAGGCACAGGTACTGGGAATTATCAAGTTTAACTGAGTTGTCAAGGTGAGTAGACTATAACCACAGGATAATAACCCTAGTTATCAGTGTAAATACAACCTATATGCTCAAGAAGTTGGATAATATAGTGTATTGGTTCCTATAATGTATTACATGGAACCTAGACCTCAAAA